TTCGTGTGCGCGCCTTAATCACACAAAACAGGTCTTCGTTTCTCTCAATGGCCGGCGACTCTAGACTCTTCGACGCACATAATAAATCTTAAAGTCACACAAGAGAGGATAAAGGGGACAAAGAAGGCTTCCCTATACACACCCTATTCCGTAAGTAATTCGTCTCGAATTATTTTTAGAATCGGGATAAAGTTACCTCGCGCGCTGCGTGGATGTTTCGTGGAGGTTTCGCATAACTAAACGCGATGCAAAACATGTAGGGCGAAAGGCTATGAAAGCGTAAAGAGATCGAGAGCATTTCTGAATATCGAAGCGAAATAAGTCGGCGCTCACATGGGAAAAGAAAATCGGTTGACTCTTTGACAACCCGTGAAGTTGTCGTAACCGCAGTGCTTTAATAAAATGAGAAATTTCGCCGGTTTATTGAAACCTGGTCGTTTGTATAATAAAGCAAGTACAACGCCAAGTGTTATTTTTGTTGAATAATAAAAGACTAATAAAAGAATAAATATCAAACCAGAAATTGCTGTCTTCAAACTGTAAATTATAAATGATCCTGAGAGAAGATTCAGTGTGATAAGGATTTCCCTGTTGTACTGTTAGCTCTATACAAGAGAGGAGGAGCGATTCTTTTTTAGTTTCTGTTTCGCTGACACAGCTTTAGCAGAAATCTCTCTTTAGTCGTTTTCGTCCACAAAACAAGTAGGAATATCACTCTCCGTGTCTTCCACCATTTTTTCTGAGTCAATTCGTGAAGGACGTTTAGCTCTGAGCGTGAGTCATCCACGCGGAACACATTCGCGCTATGTGATTGGCTGTTGTCTAATCCCCCTTGGGATATATGGTCTTAAAAATAACTCGAGACGAATTACCTATGGAATAGGGTGTGTATGGGGGATGCCTTCTCTGTCCCCTTTATCCTCTCTCGAGTCAGATTACTAATACCTGGTGGCCTTCCATTCAAATAAGAGCTTAGAATACCTAAATTACGACTAAACGTTTTATGATTTTTGTTAGGACAACTACTTAATATAAATAATTACAACTTATTATATATAACTAGCATAAGTCATACATTTACAGGACAGTAAGCGTAAAACAAGTAGCCTTGTAGTGTATTTTTTGTATGATTATTTACAAATTAATAAAAGACTGTAACTCAGTCTTTGTTATGGGCATGCGTCCACGCACGCAAGGAAACAGAGGATTATAAAAGCCCCCCAAAGCCACTGAATTAATAAAGTCTCACAAATGAAGAAGCAGATTCGCAAACAAAGAATTATAATAAAAGGCAATACTCAGGGGCGATATTGTCATTAACCTCAAACGTGACGCGAAAGACTTGCCACGTGACCTCCAGCGGTTAGAGGTTCGCGGTAAACTCGGATCTAAAACTCTGTAATGTTCATTCGTGATCCTGCAAACGGATTCTTAACAACAGTAGAAATAACTCTGGACAGGTCTCAAAAAAGGCATAAGACTCTTAAGACTAAGTTAAAGCATTGAGGTTTTCAGTTGTTTTAAATAGCCCTCATTAGCAGACTGATACAGTCTTGGATGTTGTCACGTGACTTGTGAGTATTTAGTCACCCGACATCAAGTGTTAAACATGCGCGGGGTAATTCGAGAGAAACTGAGTTGTTTGTACATCATTGGGCCGGAAAGCTTCAAGTAATTAACTGGGCCATCACTAACACGCAACATGGATAGCTTAAGAATACATTGATACCTCTTCCAAAGAAGGCATTGGATTTTCCGAGACGCACTTGCCTTGCCTCCCGGGAGTAAATTAATCCAGTGCGAAACATTTTATTAAATTGCACGAATTAGGATATTGATCCAGGCTGAGCTTGCAGAAAGTACAGCAATCATGCATTTGTCTCTTAACCTATTACATCAGTATAACCACCTAACGTAAAGCAATACAGACATGATTCTTTTAAAAGATAAAAAATAAATAAATGTCACGCCAACAGCACAAAGGAAGCAATACAACGGTTTAAGGATGGTAACCAAGCACGGCTTGAAAACTATCTTCGAGCCGCTTCTCCCGACCCGACGAACAGCCCCTGGGTCTCCGAAGATGACTTTAGCGTATAGCTGATTGTAAAGATATCTAGTACATATCTAGAAGAAGTTCTAATCTGGATTCTTTTGCAAAAAAAAAAGAGATAAGGTTGACACTGGATTGAGCGCCTCAGCTAGGTTAAGATAAATCATTTCCTTATTGGTATATCATTATTAATAATGACATGCGTAGTCTTCGCACGCACAACGTCCTCGACATGAAATCCCTTTTGTACGATCCAGAGTTCCTCAAGTCATACTGAAGGACCTGATACCGTTCATCCTCTTGCACAGTAACGATACCGCCCTTCAGGTGACGGGTTTAACTCATACACATAAAACCCTTGACACTCCCTCACGCGTATCTGAACTGTCCTATAACAACAGTTTTCCCATCCGTGGAAGCAAGCTTCCCTGTCCACGATGCCATCTTTAAAGGTAGGGTGGCCACCTTTTAACCACCCAGTTATATCTGTAGTGCATCTGTGGACCTGAATACAATTGTCTACCATTCTTGAGTATGAACTTGATTGGAAGCGATACCAGCCGGGGACAAGATTACTGTCTGAGTTAGTGCCTCGGCCAAAAGACTGGTGTCGATTGGGTTGACTGAGGACGTTATAGTCCCGGCACTCTGGTACATCTGAATTAACAAAAAAGCAAAAGAGTTCCGCTATTTTGTATTCACATACAACACAAAGCCGAGGTGAACAGCTCTAACTAGAAGCTTGGGTATCTAACAATTTGAGGTGGTTGTTAGTTGTTGTTGTTGTAAATATTTAACAATTATTCCTCGAGCCTGAATGGGCTCTGAGTCAATAGCCCATGAGGTCAAAGGCCGAAAGGGCTATTGACTCAGAGGCCATGAGGGCGAGAGGAATAATTGTTTTAGTAAAATCCAGCTAGTTGGTCAAAAATATCGAGAATAAAAAACTTTTAGCTAGTTAAAGCTAGACTTTAATCCTTTTTTGCCGCCAAAAAGCTGGCGCTTTTCGCTACTAGATGTAGGGGGCTATAACATATAGCCTAGTGGTAGCTCAACCAATCAGAACGCAGCATTGATAATAGACCACTGGTTGGATTTTACTAAATCTTAATAGCTTGTTCATATCTCGAAAAGGGGCTTTTGTTAACTTGAAGTAATTCTACGTTAACTTACAGATTTCACACTCATCGCCAAAATATCTAGGAAGACAAGTGCAACTATACGTTCCAACTCTGAACGAAATCAGGGAGCACATTCCATTGTTCATACAAGGAACATTAGTACAAGGATTCTGCAGGAAAAAAATCATTACATTAAAACACAATGATTGTGATTATAATGGAAACAAACGTTCTGCACTTCCTCATTATCAATGCTGCCATTTTACTCCGAGAGCCTGTTAATGCAACCAACAACCTGACCGTTAGTAGCTTTTTTCGAAGTTCTCACTGAGGCCTGAGGCCTGAGGCTTCATTTTCTTGGTATAGTTTGTTCTACCAGTCAAATGCATCTTTGGTGGAAGTAATAAGTAAAACAGTCAGTTACTAACAGTATTTAGAAAGCTCTTCGGGATTACAAAAAAATGCCTGTTAGCATTTGAAAGAAACAAAAAAATATATAGAAATCGAACAACCAGACATAAACCTACAAACATATATGTTCAGTGACTGAATCGAAGAATTCAGTAAAAATAAAAAAATAAAAATAACACCCGCTTTCAGCGCTTTAATTGTTTTGCTCTTTTATATCTTCACTTCTAGAGAGATAACTTTGAATCAATCTCGTCTGTGGTTCACCGTAAGTTGTAAAAAATTGGCAATTATATATTAGACTACATCAATTATTGTAGATTTGCGACAAACCTGTATGCTGTAATGGTCAAATTTAAAATTTAAAACGATTTTCCCTGTGTTGTTATAGATGCTAGATGGAAGAAGCTCGCACCAAAGTTTTTCTGCTGACGTCTCTGCCAAGTTGAAGGAAATACAGAGTTTGTTATGAACACAAGCAAAGCTATAGTCGAACTTGTCGTCGACGAGAAGAGTTTCCAGTGGTGTTATATTGAGGTAGAGAGAATCGTGAAAAACAAATCGTAGCTGTAGAAACTTTTCCCCGATCCCGTGTGCGTTTAAAACGTAAATGCAAGACACGAAAAGAAATACCGATAAGAGTTTCATATCTTTTCTTCTTTGCTCTGCACTCATGATTTTGTTGATTTTGATTTCAGTGAAAGCAGCTCTCAGTGTTTCCTAGCTTGGAGTAAATTTAAGTAAGCACACAACCACCAAGTTCGTATTACCTCTGTCATATGCATACTGCAGAATGAAAAGTTGGTTGGTCGGTTGAACGCCTGATTAGTACGTTAGTTAAATAGCTGCTTGATATAAACAGTTCTTTATTTTAGGCTTCATGATCTGACGATGGAGTCTTAATTTCTGCGACCACAATTACATATTAAATTAAGCAGAATGATGTAACATTGCAATAATACTTCACACTTGGGTGTATCAAGAGAATTACGTGGACTCTGTAGAAGTCTTAAAGGAAGTGTCCCCAAATTAGTAAGGGATTCTTTTTTTTCCCTCGCTAGACGGCTTTTGACACTTTGATAAGTAATTCTCCGCTTTTCTAAGGTGGACGGTAGCGTATTTCGGGCACTGACTTGCTATGTGATATACTGACAGTACAATACTCGGTAACCTTAATCTTGAATTACAGCAAAGCGGTATTTTCTGTGGGCTTCTTATGCTATGGGAGTGAGTAATCAGTTGCCGAGGCTTTTGCGGTATTGTGGAGTCTTAAGAATGTTGTTTTTCCGGTACGGCCTGATTATACTCCACACTAGAAACTAAGTAGACACCCGCATAAAAACCCGTAAATTTTATGAGGGTGTCTACTTTATTCCGCTGCTCTGAAAGAAGGTTAACTTCCTAGCACGTCATAATTCCTGTAACCACTCCAGGGAGTTGGAACACCTGCTCCAATAAGTCGGGGTTGACGCTCTTCTGGATTTTCGAATATCTAAAAATGGTATAATTGCTCATTTTTAAAAAGGTCACCTAGAATTTTCGGGTGCCTTTTTTCTCGCTGAAATTTTCGAAAAGGTACTGGTTTGATCCCTATAATTTTCGGATCACTAGACTTTCAGCTAGGAAATTCGAACGGGTGAAAAATTTTTAGGGGATTAAGATATGCCTATATCTACCGTTTAAATACTAAAATACGTTCAACAATGCTATGTTAAAGTTGTTTTCAACTATGTTCTCGTTGGGTGCCACTGTCCAATGATAAATTGTAAAAATCAACAAGATCTAGAAGGAACGAAAGAGTGATGCGGCTGACTTTTCCGGATAAAGGTAACTTATAAAGGAACAAGAGTCGAACCTTTTAAAGACCTTCGCGCGAATTTCAAGCCAGCTGAGGTCTTGAACACACCTACTTTCAATCGCTCTTGTAATCCCATAAGGGTTAAGCAAGGTTTTTCAAATTAGACTGAACTCCTTTGAAAGAAACGGAAATATGTCCATAAATAATCTCTTAATACACGCCTATTGTCTATACTGATCTATACTCTCTATACTATTCGAAAATTTATCCAGAAAGTACGAAACGAAAATAGCTCAATCTAAAGCAAACAGATAAATCTAAAAATAAATTGCCAATAATTGGGTCATTATTGCTTGAAATTGGTCACGCAATACCTTTCAATTCCGAGACCCCAAATAACCTCAAACCAGAAGCACATGCAGGCCCCACTTAAAGAAATGTTTAAGGAACCTCATCTAATGTCGTCTAGCTAAAAATCCTAAAAAGACGATCTTGTTGAAAAGCTGTATAGTAATAATATCGACTATTTGGGGCGTGAAGGAATCTTGTTATGCCCTTGTAGACACATTATTTATGAATTCAACTTCATTTACGCTGTAAATATCTTCAGTTTTCTATCAGTGGCAGTGGCATAATTACTGACATCTAGGGAGCATTACAAAACAGTTTAATACAGTCTAAGTTAAAATCTGATACTATTTTGGAATTGCAAAAGATCCCGCGTTGTTAACGCGAACTCACGTCATGAAAGGTTATGTCTTAACCGAGGGAGGATAAAAGCAGGTGTAAACATCCTCAAAGTACATAAGGCCATCCAAGTAAGCAGAGTAAAAATAAATTTTACCTGAGCTATAGCCGTTCCCATCATCTGAAACTTGTGTCTGCATCTTCTTGGAAAGGTCTATTGCGATATCTTTTGTCGGTGCGAAAGGCATCCTGTGAAGATTATTAATAGTGCCACGCTTAGTGCAAGGAACACAGTAAACACGAGATTCCAGTGAAATCAGTCGTTCGTTTGTTGCTTCATTTTTCACCCAGAGACAACCGCAAACTAAAACTAATACCAACGAAAGAAACGATGGTCTAACTGACGGAACAAACTCAAGGACTCGTTGAGTTTTTGAAGAGTTTACGGTTTTCATTTTTGTAGTTTTAAGATCGTTTTCTTTCACAGCCACTCGAAGACGGAAGTTTGAGGGAAAGTTTCAAGTTAAACCTGATCCGCTTCTGATTTAGCGCAGAAAAACAAGAGTGTTAGCTTACATTAGATTCGTGACGTAAGCCGGGCTATTCTGCCGATGGTATCTTTTCTCTTGTTGCACTCAAACGTGGTCAAAGTTCCAACGGTTTCCGTATTCTAAAATACCGTAAAATTCCGAAAATAAGCCTCGGGGCTTATGCTTTTCAAAGGCCCTTTTTGAGAGGCTTATTTTTGGAGGGGCTTATATTCGGAGGGGCTTAGGTACGGGGGAAATTTGCGTTTCAAAACTGATTGGGCTAGCCTTATAGTTGGAAGTAAATTTACCGTTTCTCTTTGTTTTACTTTGTATTTGAGGGCAATTTCCAAGTACAAGCCCCCGGGGGGCTTATATTTGGAGGGGCGATTTAACGGAGGGTTTTTTGCGTTACGAGTTTGGGGGGATTATATTTGGAGGGGCTTATTTTCGGAATTTTACGGCATCAGAAATCAAACATCACGTAAGAGGTTGACCACGTGACCGTTGGCTTTATTCTTCATTCTTGATAACGTGGAGAGAATAAAGTTTCTCTTTTTGTAACAAACATTCGAGCATGAGTAATTTATTTAATTCAATTCTTGTTTTCTGTCACAGTTACTCCAAGTTTGAGGGAAAGTTGCAAGACATTTAAACCTGATCCCTTCTCACTAAGCCCATAAAAACAAGTGTAGTAAATTAGCTTACATTAGATTGACGTGAGCCGGGCTGCTCCGCCGGTTGTTAACCTTCTTCCTGTTGCACTCAAACGTGGTCAAAGTTCCAACAGATACCATATTTTAAATTATTGCTGAAATCAAACATCACGTTTACCAGAAAGGAAACAAGTTTGACCACGTGACCATTAACCCTCATTATTGACAACGTTGAGAGAATGAAGCTCTCTTTTTATGACAAACATGAGTAATTTTATTGAATTTTAATTCTTGTCTGGACATAAACAATTAATACTAGCCCGTAAACGTGGTCTTTTATTTATTTATTATCAGTAGAAACTTCCTATAGGGGTATATTTTATTTAATAATATTTTATATACACCTTTTGCTGTTCATTACGAGAAAATACGCAGTCTTTTGCGTGAAACGGCGACCTATAGTGCGAGGATACATTCATTAGCGCGAAAATACGAACATTTGCGCATAAATTAGATTCAATTACGATTTCTGCATTTTAATCAACATTCAATAACACCTTTGGGCATTCATATGCGTCATTGGGCATACAAAAGAGAGAAATATACTTTCATTAAGGCCAACATCAAAGTCATTAATACCATCCTGAAAGTCAATAGCGACAACTGACATACATTAAAGTGCAAACACTTTTCATTAACATTTTTACGACAGTGTTTGCAATTCAATAGTATTCCTGGACAACCTTAGGATGGATAAGACAAACATTAATGTGCTTGTACAATCAATTGAGTGTTCTTTACATTTAATATACAAAAATCGATTTTCAATTAAATAATAGAAATTCAAACAAATTTGGCCTGAATTTCAGTCCGTTAAATGTATATCCCTTAAAACCCTCGCTATTCAAACATTTTGGGAGGTAGGTTTGATGTCGAGGGGGGAAGCATAAGCTGTGTACGTACAGAGCGGGAATGGCCAAATCTAGGTGGCTGCCAGGCACCCCGTCATACGCAAAGACCGCCGACTTATCGGGATCCTTTTTTTCCTCGCCCGTGGTAGAAAGTCACCGAAAAACCGACACAGTATTCATTACTCCAGCAGCTCCCGAGAAAAACATTTGATAGGTACTTAATACAGGTCTGTCATAAAGGATACTGATGTACCTCAGATTTTATACGTAGGACTTAAATGAGGTAGTAACCCAACGCTGGTAATTTTAATTACTACACTGCTAGAAGGTGATCGGGATTGTCACGTGACTGCAAGCAGTCTTTTCCTGTATATGAGATAGTGTTGCCGCATTAAGCAATTAGTAATAATCTTAATTTTTGATTACTAATATTAGTGGTATCGCATTGAGCAACAAAGCAGTGAGGACAGCCTGGTTCAGTAAAATATCACTGTAATGTTTTTTTTTTTTTTTCAACTTTGTTTACTCGGAAGGATAGATTTCTTTGCCCTCATGATAAGGAAGTAACTGTTTTCTGACAGATGACAGCATAGCTGCCCCTAGACTCGTATCCAGGCAAAAAAAGATCAGCGCAGTTGGACCAGTTGTAGATATCAAAATCATTTCTCTTTTTCCCTATTCTATTTTTCGTTTGTTTGGAAAATGTTGTAGTGTACGTTCTAATGATTGTGTTTTGATTTAGATATAAGGGGCTTGCTTAGTGCTGTAGATTCGTTCACCTCTAAGCGTCTACTTGCACAATTAGCTCAGCTCAAATATCAAAGCCGGTGTCGTGCATTATATTAATTAGGTTGTTTCGTAAAAGGTTTCAACTTCGTCTGGTGTGAACTGGTAAGTTCCTGCCAGGAATGTTTTGGCGAAGGTGCTGCCGTAGCTGTATCCGCTCGGTGGGCTGTAAGTATAGCCAAGGTTGCTGTAAGAATTGCTATTAGATGACGCGTAGTTGGAAATGTGAATGTCATGTCCGTCTCCGAATGTAGGTCCATAGGATGAGTGAAAGTATATGGATTCTTTGCCATAACTATATTGCCCTGACTGAGACAATTTGACAGGCGCCCATCCTGGCTTGTTTACCAGCGAAAATAAGAAGGCTTTTGTGTCGTATTGATACCGGCCAGAACCAGAAGCTAAAAGAAATGAAACAAAACTTTTCTAAGACAAGTTAGCGACATTGTCCTTATGCCTGTCATAATGGTGACGATGATGATGATGTTGATTATTGATTAAAAACAGTAAATACCTTATTCTCATAAAACAAATTCGATCGAGTTTCTCAGTAACGTTCGTCATTTATCAAAAACGAAATCAGTTTCTATGTCTTCTTTATTATCATCATTATCATTATCAATGTTATTATTATTATTATTATTATTATATTATTATTATTATTATTATTATTATTATTATTATTTTTATTATCATCATCATCATCATTACTAGTAGTATGAATATTATTTTATTGCATTATTATTTACGAGCAGGTATTTTGGTAAAAGATACAGCTATACTCATGGCAATAGTGGTTCGTCCGCTCAGGAGAGAGTTTTATGTGGCTGCAAGCTCACCGAAGCTGAGGTGTCGGCCTCTGGGAGATGTTAATTTTAAAAGATTTGCAATTGCAAGCAATAGATCGGGAAAAAAATTAGTAATTAATAAGATATGTTCTTTTATCCTTGAAAAGGTATAAAACATTATGTATTTCAGTCACCGATTTCAGTCTATCAAGTTCGTTCGAATCCGAAGAGAAGAATCCTCTTCGTGACATTTCGCTCAGGCAAAATTACGAAAGTTTGATCGGTGAAATGAACCTTCGTCTTGGTGTATCACGTACGTGGACATGTCAAAAGAGAGTGTTTTTTCTTTGCCAAAATTTGCGAATTTCACCAAAAACCTGTGGCGAAGTTCGTTAGTCGCTACTTTTGCAATATGGGAACTGAGGGATGGAAGATAGCAGGGTAGCAAGAAAGTCAGAACAATATCGATATTTTACAACCTCAAAATTATTATAATAGTAGTAGCCTGGAATTTAAACACGTTTTGACAGGCTAGAAATGCATCACGTATCATCTGCAAAACCAGAACTTGAGAAGAAGGGTGGGGGGTGGCGCTCATTTACACCATGTGATTGTAGGAGGGACGGTCCTCAATTAGAACCTCAAAGTTATTATAATTCGATAGTGTTGGCCTGGAATTTGGGCACGTTTTAACAAGCTAGAAATGCATCACTTACCATCTGCAGAACCAGAACTCTAGAAAAGGGGTGGGGCGTTCATTCACACCATGTGAGTGTAGGAGGGGCGGTCCTCGCCCCTTGAGGAACGAGGGGATATGGGCCCACATCTAGAGCTATTAACCTAGACCCTTTCTCCGCCACTGCTTAACCATGTATGAAAGGTACAGTCACATGATTCCATATTGCTAAGTACCAAGCTGCACTTTTAGCTGAACATATCAAGGCCAATTACGCCAAAGGTATAAATGTCACCGCCATGGCTTATGATGAATGCTCACTTACCCCATGAAATACTTGTGTATCCTCCAAAAATATATCTCCCGACCCTTATTATTGTCACAGTCGGGCCCTTGCTGTCACATCGGGAGTGAAATGTACTTGCAGCCCAGCCGTCCACGGATGCACGCCAACAGCGCTTCCAGAGAGAATTCACGCTTCGTGCTACAGGGGCTAACCAACTCCTTAAGCTTCTCAAATGATTTTTGCTCTTTCCTACGATAACGGAGTTTTCTAAATCTGAAACAGAACAATCGACCTTAAATGGTGTAATGAGAATTCCATATCTTGGAGATTGGCCAGAATCGAACTTTCTTTGGAACTTATAACATCGAATTTTGTCATTGTTGAGTTATTGACATACAAAATCAGTATTAATGTACACAAGTGCATTATTTTTGGCAAAGTTGTCCCTAACGGATATGTAGAAAAGACCATTAACGGTCACCCTCAGGGCCAAATGACCGCTTAATACGATACAGGCTGGACAACTCGATCAGGAAAATCAAAAAGAGGAAGATGGTGACTAAGCAAAATATCCATTATACATACATACATACGTTTTATTGAGTCTCCCTTTACAGGGCTTTTCAGACACAATTAACTAATTACATAAAATTTACAGAAATAAAATCTAAAATCTAAGAAGCTAAAACTAGAGTGTTCATTAAATATGTTATTGAACAATAAATTAGATATTAAAATACATATCTGATGCACCGTTACAACGACAGTGACCGTTACGTTTAACAGATCAGAGGTGAAGCCATTCGCTGCCAAACTCGTTGTAGCCATTGAAAAGGTGACCTGACGACTTCTTAATAGACTAAGCAGGGCCATAGCTAGGTTTTTTTGTAACGGGGCATTTTCGCGAGTGCAGAAGCCACGAGCCTTGTGAAAACGAATGTGAAAACGGCAAACAATTGCAAGTCACTATAATCAAAATAACTGACTCTAAAGAAAACAAATCCATCCAAAAACTTGATGAGTCCGTTGCTCAACAGGTCCGGGGGGGAGAGCAACTGCCCCCTTGCCCCACCCCCCCGCTAGCTAAGGCTCTGGACTAAGATTATCCAGTTTAGATTTAAAGTAATTGAGGAAAATGATGTCGGAGACCTTGGTATCATGACCGCTTATTAGTTATAGTCAGGTTCGCTTACAGGTTTCACTGTATGATATCAGTGCTTCCAATAGCTGCAAGAAACTCAAGAGATGAGGACAAAACTGATGTCATTATTTAAACTGTTTAAAAAAAAAGATAAATTAATTCCACCTCATACATATAACAAGAACTAGAAAGTTTGGGCAAACGAAAATGACCATTTGCTGAAAGTGGTGTTTGCCACCACCCTATGCCAAAACATAGGCACGTTCAACGTGCATGAGCTATTTTGAATGCTTCAGTGTAACTATAATACTTCGGTGTAACCTTACCAAGAGTGATGAATCTACCTTTTTCATCCTAAATGTAGATTTGGTTTTTGTGCGAAATTGGGTATTGCGCTACATAAATGAAAAGGCGAAACGCTCAGCTGAGTCCATCCTCAACCTATGTATTCACTTTCCTCTGTCTTTCCCAGTTACATCTGGTGCAGGTTAAACAAATTGCTAAAGTAAAATAAATTTCTACTCACCAAACGTTGATTAGAAGGAAAACTCCAAGGTTTCCTCGGAGTTTCTTAAGCCAAAATGTGACTCATCGAATACTGAATAGTTACGAAATACCAGGATTTTTATCATTGAGGTAGATGGTTGCGTCATCATAATTCACGAGGTTTTCACGTGCGATTCTACTCAGTGAAACAGTCTTTAACTCCGACAACTTACTTCTTCATGTTTTAAAAGCTATTGCTTCTTAAAAGGCAAGAGCCTTTTTAAGGCATTGGTTACAAAACGAAACAGGTCTTCATACGTCCAAGTTACTATTTATCATTGTGAAAAGCCAATCTGCATGAGATGTACAGTCACACAGCTGGCACGTGAAAGTGTTGGACTTTGTCCCCTTTCGTGGCTCGTACGTGAGGGAATTCGAGTTATCAAACAATAAACTAGTAAACAGAATTATAAAAATAACTCTTGCACACAATTTGCACGTGAAGATGTTGGTCTTTGGCCCTTTTACAATTCGTACGTTAAAAAAAGGCAAATTGTTTACTACAAAATTTTCTCAAGCGATTTTAAGAAATCACCTCGGCTTCATTACAACATCTGCAATTAAATTATGTTTCATGCAACGTCAAGGTTGATAACCTAACATTTATTAACATTTGTGAGACAGTCTTTAACTCCGACAACTTATTTCTTCATGTTTTAAAAACTATTGCTTCTTAAAAGACAAGAGCCTTTTTTAGGGCATTGGTTACTAAACGAAACAGGTCTTTATACGTTCAAGTCACTATTACTATTGTGAAAAGCCAATCTGCATGAGATGTACAGTCACACAGATGGCACGTGAAAGTGTTGGACTTTGCCCCCTTCCGTGGTTCGTACGTGAGGGAATTCGAGTTATCACACAGTAATCGAGTAAACAGAATTATAAAAATAACTCATGCACACGATTTGCATGTGAAGATGTTGGTCTTTGGCCCTTTTACAATTCGTACTGAAAAAAAACGCAAATTGTTTACTACAAAATTTTCTCAAGCGATTTTAAGAAATCACCTCGGCCTTATTACAACATCTGCAATTAAATTATGTTTCATGCAACTTCAAGGTTGATAGCCTAACATTTATTAACTTCCAAGAAAATTATCAAACTGCCGAAATATATTTCTGCTCATATCATGTTTCTCCACTCAATAAAGCAGTACCTAATTATTGTGTCAACTAGCTTCTTCCAATTTTATTCCCTAACGCTACTGTTTCTACTTAAGTTTAAACGCATCTTTACTAAATAAAATACGTTTCAATAACTATAATGCTTAGTATGCAGGAAGGATGTATCATGTTGTTCACTCATTATTCCTTTTTGTTGTTGTTTTGCCGGAACGAAAAAGGTCTGTTGAACTTTGTAAGCGAGAGAATAATATTTCTACAGCTTGTTTACAGGATTAACAATACTCGGTACAGCTTTTAAAAAAATAAACTGCTTTTCAAACTTCTAAAACCACATTTTATAGGCCGCATACTTTCGAATTAAATTCCATATCTAAATATCAATTATTGCTTCACTGGAAGAGCTTTGAAAATATATGATCGTTTATACTCTACCTTGAAACAGGTGAAACACAACTCATAAATACGTGCGTGGTACCGTTCGCGATAGCCGAATTCGGTCAGAAATGTCTTGAAGTAGCATCCACACTAAAATATGAACCCTTAAACAGCTGCATCACTGTACACAGCGTTTGAATCATGAAGATATTTAATATAATGTTTCCAAACACCTGTAGCCGTAATAAAAGACGAACAAATTGTAAAGAATCAAGATGGCGGTCTTAAAGTGCCCTTGTTCGACCTTTAGCAATGTGATTTTTAAGTAGATGCCAAGATCTCATTGGTTCCTTAGCATCAACTCATAGTACCTTCAACCTTATTGGCTCTTGCAACAAACATCCGAACATACAAAGTTACAAAGATACAAAGTTACAAAGTTACAAAGTTACAAAGTTACAAAGATACAAAGCCACAAAGATACATACGCTCACACCACTGACAAATGAGCTATTTTTCAAAATAGCTCAATAAATAGAGCAAACCTGGCTTTCGTTGTACGGCCACATTGATCCTGGCCTTCTTTGTTCCCATAATGTTAGTAGCAATACAGTCGTACAAACTGCTGTCAGCAGGACTTAAGTTCTTAATAGTTAGTGTTCCTTGGTTTACTTCAGTCCTTCCTGCTGGCAAAGACATTCCCACTCTACTCCAGTTTACCACGGGACGAGGGAAACCTTCAGCTTGGCAAACTACCTGAAAGGTAGTGCGCTGTACTGGCGTGGCAAGTGGTGGTGGAACTTTTGTGAATATTGGAAGTCCTAGGGAAAAAAGTAAAACCTTACAATGAAAACAAGTACAAACCGTATAACAAAGAAGAGAAACTACTGAGAACTATTAGAAAACGGAGCTTCTACACGATGTAAATTTTTAGACGCTTTACCCTATATTAAGTCGGAAGCATGCTTCCGGTCTAGTTTAACGGTGAAACCAGAAATACAAAAAAGGATGAATAACGCAAAACGAAATCAATTAACTATTGGAAAACCCTTAAACAAGAGAAGGATGCAATCCCGGCCGTTTGTGAGCCTACACAACGGAGACTCGCATAAAAATGATCAATCAGCAGCTGGGTGAGTTAATCTCAATTATGTCCTTACCTCGAACAGTCAAGTTACCAGTGGCCTCAGACAATCCAAGAATGTTCCTGGCAGCACATGTGTACGTCCCAGCATCGCTGTAATTTAGATTTCTCACGATCAACTCTCCTTCTTTAATCAAATACTTTGCACCCGACAGAAGCTTTCTGCCCTTAAATTGCCATTCCACGATTGGGGAAGGATTTCCTGCGACCGTGCAATAAAATGCCGTATTTCTTCCCTCGTCTCGTGTCTGCTCTGCCGGCGACAACATAACTTGTGGAGCAGATATCGATTTCCCAGGCCTTCCAGGTGGCCCCGGCATGCCTTTTGGCCCAGGGTCTCCTTTGTCCCCCTTTTCTCCTCTCGGTCCTGCAGGACCAGTTAGTCCTGGTTTTCCTGATTTTCCAGGAGGTCCCATGGGACCTTGAGGACCTTTCTTTCCCTTTGGTCCCCTCCTTCCACGTGGTCCCCTCGCTCCAATGGGACCAGGATATCCGGGGGGTCCTGCAGGACATACCTTCTCACTTGACTTACAGTACTTGGTGGGCATAAGTTGTTCAAATTGTTTGCTGATTTCTTTTCTCACTTCATGTATGGTGATGCCAGTTGAAGTGTCGTTCAAAACTTTTCTTCGCTTCCTTAACCGGATGGTTGCTGAGGCCTCTAGTGATAACGGGCTGACTGCAGTATAGTAAGATTAAGAAATTTTTTAATATCCAGTGATTAATATTAAAAATAAATAAGAGAGAAAATATAACGAACAAATCAACGGAATGAATGATAAGGTTGACATTTCTAACATAAAATTAACGTTTTGGAAGTTGCGTTCAACAACAAGGTTAACAACTTTTTAATTTGTCCTCATGCCTCTTCCCTTGTTGCTTCCAAGGGAAAGCTAAGCTGACATTCTAGATTTCTAGATCTACGCACACATTTCAAACCCCGGGGGAAGGGAACTTGGGTAAATTTTTGCTGAGTATGTGCCGCTGGCGTCTAAGAGCCCTACCCCATTATAGTCTATTCTGTGATCAATTATAGACCCTATATCTTAGTCACTTTTAAGCAAATATGAATTTTTCGCGATCCAAACTTAGTCACTTTTTATTTTTATGAATTGACCCATTTTTTTACACTGTTTGAAGAACACTTCACTTTTCATCTACGGAACAAACATTCTGGTAAGTTTGCTAACCGTAAATAAGAACTGTCTTACCACAAAAAATCCGAAAATGTGCGACCCCATTCTAGTAATTCTGTTGAAAATGCAACCCCATTATAGACAATCCAGCCGAGAAAATGCGGCCCTAACCAGCGCCACATCCCTAGTAGCCTCTTATAAGGAAGTCCCTCCCCCCCGGGTTTTAAACCACTTGAGTCCGTTCAATAAACGTACTTTCAATCTTGCCACCCTATCAAAGTTACCAATGGTTTTATTAAGTAACCCAGCAAGCCTTAAGACTCCTTAACCGAACCGGCTCTAGAGGCATTTAAAAAAATATCTCAAATTTTACGCCACCCTAACAATTTTATTCAGACAGTGCTATTTCAGACTGAATTTTCCACACCCGCTTTCAGACCATGCAGTCCTCTAAAATCCGCACCCGTTTTTAGATCTGGCCTTTAAACAGAAATTGTGTCATCATTACTTAGATTAGAGCGTAAAAAAAAAATTCTTCAAATGCATTTCGAATTCACGTATTTCTATTTCGTTCTTATTCATGTGGAACTGAAACGATAAGTACGTTCATGCATACGCTCCAGGAGGTTCCTCGAAAACCAAACCCGATTCCAGACCAAAAACACCAACGTTTATACCAGCGTTTTCAGACCAAAAAGGGCCAAGAACTACACCCTTTGTGGCGGCACATAATTGTATGGCTTTTAAAATTATACAAGAGTACCCTCCTGAGTATTGATCACATATCTTGCACGTGAGCAAGTCGTTCGACACTTAAACTATGAATTCAACATCATTTACACCGAAAATTTCTTTATTGTTTTACCAGTATAGGTGGCTTAGTTAATATCTAAGCAGTATTACAACAGAGCGAGAGTGTTGCAAAAGGGTTTATACAGAATTAGCTGAGGTTAAAAATTCAGTTATCTTATGCAATATCCAAAGATCCCGTATGTAAGCGCAAACTCACACCATGAAAGATTATATGCCTAAATCAAAAGAGGATAAACTCAGTTCTAAACATCTATCTGCATCTAAATAACATCTGAAGTGAAGATCTTACCTGATGTATAACCGATCCTTTCGAATACATGTGTCAGCTGAACCTTCTTATAAAGATCTCCTGCTGTAGCTTCTGTCGGTGAAAGAGATATCCTGTCAGTATTTTCAGTCGAGACACTCTGAACGCAGGGGAAAAGGTTAACGCGAGATTCCAGCGCTATCAGTCGTTCGTTTGTAGTCTCATTCTTCACCCAAAGACATCCGCAAACGAAAACTAGTACAACAGAAAGAAACGATGGTCTTATTGACGGAACAAAATCAAGGAGACGACGAGATTCTGCCGGGGAGTTCGAAGATTTCATTTCTGCAGCTTGCCAATCGTCCCATGCACGGAAGATGGAGGTGAGTGGGAAACTTGCCAGTAAATTTGATCCTTAAAAATTTCGCCTAGAGAAACATGTCATTAAGGTTGACGTAAAAAAACAACAAGTCTTTATAGGGACGGCAAGGGGCCACGCGCGGACCATGAAAACCTTAATGGGGGAGGTGGGAGGTGAAGTACAAAAATATAATATTCGTGCAAGGGAAAACTAAATGAATAAAATTAGAGCACTCCAAGTAACGCCAAAAAATATTCATGCTTTGGCCTAAGAAAATGAATACAAAGAAAATGCTAACGAAAAAAATTCATGCAATTTTGCTATTGGTCTGTCCCTAATTAACTTTCTTCCTCACGCCTCGTAACAATATCATTTTCATTAGGGTGATTTCTCTTGCATATTGCGTGAACTGGACCATGGGAGATTATGTTCGCTGGCAAACATACTTTATTGAATAGAGGAAACATTTCAGTGCAAACTGGGATTACCTAATTATTTAGCGGCAATATATGCACTTCATACGTTACAGTCTTGGACAAAGTATTGAGATTTGCACTTTCTTACCCACAGAACGCCAATCCCGCGGATTTGGTACCGCTATGGCCCCTCCCCTCGCCCCACCCTGGTCAAGTTTGTTTATTCGGGATCAGAAATGATCCCGCCGGGCTTCAACATTGTCTTTTTGGGGGCGGGGCGAGGATTGAGTAGCTGTAGTATCGTCCATTTTTCTCAACATTTTTTTCAAGATTGTAGGTGTGTTAGTACTGAGCCAGTTATACAACTATTTTGATTAAGATTCTAGTTGAACGTCACTATGTTTATCGTGTGTAGTTAAGGATAAGGGCGACAGACTTAGCCACCCCTCTCTTAGTGCCACACAACGCATATGCGGGTTAAATAACTCGTTGTCCATTTTTGTTGTATTTACAATGACAGCTGCTTGACACGGTCTTTACTAGCGCATGTTGTTTGTTAGCAGTGTCTTAGACATAAATCAGTCTCTTTTGTATTGTTTATACACAAGACTTAGGGTTCCCCAAGTAGCGCACCTTACTTTGTTACATGATTACAACTATCTAATATCGGGACAGACTGAGTGGAGTAACCCACGGGATAGTATTTCAACGCATATGCGGGCGTACTGAATTGAGCTCTTGGGCAAGAAAATAACTCGTTGCCCTTTTCTGCTTTTATTTCCAAAGACATCAGTTCATGAAGCAGTTTTTTTTTTATTAACGCGTGCTGCTGCCTGTTAATCGAATCTTGACGTATGCTTAAAGCGCCCGGTAACGTAACGTTCACGCGCTTGCACAATGGCGGCTGAACCTTTCTGTCGGTGACAGGTTTAACTCATACACATAGTAACCCTGACACTCTCTAACGCGTATCTGAACTGTCCAGTAACAACAGTTTAATAATCCGTGGAAACAAACTTCCCTCCCCACGATACTATCTACAAAGGTGGGATGTTCGCCATTCAGCCACCCAGTCAGATCAGAGCTGCATTTGCGAACCGGGATACAGTTGTCTAGCCTTCTTGAGTATGAACTTGACTGGAAGCGGTACCAGCCGGAAAGATAAAAAATAAATGATAAATATCATGCCAACAGCAGATAGGAAGCAATACAACGGTATAAGGATGGTAACCAAGCACGGCTTGAAAACTATCTTCGCGCCGCTTCTCCCGACCCGACTAACAGCCCCTGGGTCTCCGAAGATGACCTTAGTGTATAGCTGGTTGTAAAAATATCTAGTACATATCTAGAAGAAGTCCTTCTAAACTAGATTCTTTTGCAAAAAAAAGGGAGAGAGATAAGGTTAAAACTGGATTGAGGGCCTCAGCTAGGGCAAGATAAATCATTTCCTTATTGCTGTATCATTATTAACGACATGAGTAGTTTTCGCATTCACAACGTCCTCGACATTATATCCCTTTTCTACGATCCAGAGTTCCTCAAGTCATATTAAAGGACCTGGTACCGTTCATCCTCTTGCGCAGTAGCGATACCTGCCTTCAGGTGACGGGTTTAACTCATACACACCGTAATTTTTAGGGAGTTATTATAACTCCAAAAATGGAGTAAAAATTTTAGGTACAGGATAACCTCTTTTTTGGGGTTATTTTAACTCCTAATTTAACTCCGAATTTGGGGTCATTTTTACTCCTGAAAAAGAGTTCTTTTTACTCCCAGTCTGGAGTTAAAATTACTCCGAAATGGGGTTACTTGTACTCCTTACATGGGTTGTTTTTACTCTTTTTGGAGTGAATTTAACTCTGAAAGTGGAGTAAAAATTTTAGGTACAGGATAACTCCTTTTTTGGGGTTATTTTAACTCCTCAATATCTGGGGTCACTTTCACTCCTGAAAAAGAGTTCTTTAAACTCCTTTTTGGAGTTAAAGTAACTCCACGAAAAATAACTCTACTGTAAGTAGTTAAATTAGCCCCACTAGAGGAGTTATTATAACTCCCTGAAACCGTGGAAGCAAGCTTCCCTGTCCACGATGCCATCTTTAAATGTAGGGTGGCCACCTTTTAGCCACCCAGTTATATCTGTAGTGCACCTGTGGACCTGAATACAATTGTCTACCATTCTTGAGTATGAACTTGATTGGAAGCGATACCAGCCAGGGACAAGATTGCTGTCTGAGTTAGTACCTCGGCCAAAAGACTGGTGTCGATTGGGTTGACTGAGGATGTTATAGTCCCGGCACTCTGGTGCATTTGAATTAACAAAAAAGCAAAAGGGTTCCGCTATTTTGTATTCACATACAACACAAAGCCGAGGAGAACAGCTCTAACTAGAAGCTTGGGTATCTAACAATTTGAGCTGGTTGTTAGTTGTTCTTGTAAATTTTAATAGCTTGTTCATATCACGAAACTGGTGTTTTGTTAACTTCAAGTAAATGTACGTTAACTTACAGATTTCACACTCATCGCCAAAATATCCAGGAAGACAAGTGCCACTATACGTTGCCTCTCTGAACGAAATCAGGGAGCACATCCCATTGTTTAAACAAGGAACATTAGTACAAGGATTCTGCAGGAAAAAATCATTACATTAAAACACAATGATTGTGATTATAATGGAAACAAACGTTCTGCTCTTCCTCATTATCAATGCTAGCACTTTAATCTGAGAGCCTATTAATACAACCAACAACCTTGACTGTTAGTAGCTTTTTTCGAAGTTCTCAAGCGTCATTTTCTTGGTATAGTTTGCTCTACCAGTCAAATGCATTTTTGGTGGAAGCAATAAGTCAAACAGTCAGTTACTAACAGTATTTAAAAGCTCTTCGGGATTACAAAAAAATGCCGGTTAACATTTGAAAGAAACAAAAAAAAATAGAAATCGAACTGCCAGATATAAGCCTAAAAACATATATGTTAAGTGGCTGAATCGAAGAATTAAGTAAAAAAAAAACAACCCACTTTTATTCTTTTTCTCTTTTATATCTTCACTTCTAGCGAGATAACTCTCGTCTGTGGTTCACCGTAAGTTGTAAAAAAAAACGCAATTACATATAAGGCTACATCAATTATTGTAGGTTTGCTACTAGTCTGTATGCTGTAATGATCAAATTTAAAATTTAAAACGATTTTCCCTGTGTTGTTATAGATACTAGATGGAAGAAGCTCGCACCAAAGTTTTTCTGCTGACGTCTCTGCCAAGTTGAAGGAAATACAGAGTTTGTTATGAACACAAGCAAAGCTACAGTCGAACTTGTCGTCGACAAGAAGAGTTTCCAGTAGTGTTATATCGAGGTAGAGAGAATCGTGAAAAACAAATCGTAGCTGTATAAACTTTTCCCCGATCTCATGTGCGTTTAAAACGTAAATGCAAGACACGAAAAGAAATGCCGATAAGAGTTTCATATCTTTTCTTCTTTGCTCTGCACTCATGATTTTGTTGATTTTGATTCAGTGAAAGCAGCTCTCAGTGTTTCCTAGCTTGGAGTAAATTTAAGTAATCAGACAAAACCACCAAGATCGTATTAAACCTTTGTCATACTGCTGAATGAAAAGTTTCTTTGTCGGTTGAACGCCTGATTAGTACGTTAGTTAATTAGCTGTGTGATATAAGCAGTTTCTTATTTTAGGCTGCATGATCTGATGATGGAGTCTCAATTTCTGCGACCACAATTACATAAATTAAGCAGAAGATGTAACATTGCAATAATACTTCACACTTACGTATATCAAGAGAATTACGTGGACTCTGTAGAAGTCTTGAAGGAACTAATTCTCCGCTCTTCTAAGATGGACGGTAGCGTATTTCGGGCACTGACTTGCTCTGTGATATCGTGACAGTACCATATTCGGTAACCTTGAATTATAGCAAAGCGGTATTTTCTTAGTCTTTGGGCTTCTTATGCTATGGGAGTGAGTAATCAGTTGCCGAGGCTTTTGCGGTGTTGTGGAGTCTTAAGAAGGTTGTATTTCCGGCACGGGCTGAATATACTCAACACTAGAAACTAAGTAGACAACCGCATAAAAAAAAACAGTGAATTTTGTGCGGGTGTCTACTTTATTCCGCTGCTCTGAAGGAAGGTTATAACGTTCTCGCACGTTTCCTGTAACCACTCCTGGGAGTTGGAACACCTACTCCAATAAGTCGGAATTGACGCTCCTCTGAATCCGTTAATGATATAGTGACACTTTTTTGCTATAAGATTATATATTTTATAAGAATATCGAGGCTGAATTTTCGAAACTTTAAAAATAAACCCTGGGTTGAGATTTGAAAATGATAATTGTGTTGAAAATCTGTTAATAAAATGCAATTAATATGTGTTTTAAGAGCCAATGTCTGTAATTTTCGAGAATCGGTTGACAGTCGTGAGTTTCTGAATTTCTTCATATTTTGCCCAAATAATCCCTATAGTACACTTATTTCAAAAATCACATTAAAACTTG